CCACCAGAATAAATAGATCTCTCATGCCACCCTTGAAGACACATACATCAAAAGTATCTTGACCAGAATTCGTTTGTCCCGGATTCCAAGTTTATATGGTTGTCAGTGTAATGTGTGAAACTCATACAAAATGCTCATGGGAACGATCCTTACTCTTCGTAATAGCACGATATAACAACGATGGACTACTTTATCCAAAATATATTTCATTTCAAACTACTATTCGGATAAGGATTTGACGTCATCATTTTAAATCCCAAAGTTACGCATTTCAAGACGATATAAAACTCTTTTTTTTCTTTTAACTATAGTACATGTCATGTTGATTATCTTACTTCTTACTAATATTATAGATACGAATGTTTGGATGGATGAATTGATGGATGTTTGTTGGAAGGTATCTCCTAAACAGCTGCATATCTTACTGAAATTTGGCGTAGATTTAGAACATAGCCTGTAAGACATCGACTTACTAATTAAGTTTTTTTTTAATACTGATAATATAAAAAAAAATATATTTATTTATTCAATGTTAATTAAATATAAATGACGCATTATACTAGTATATTTTAGTAATAAATATAGTCAAAGACCTTTTAAACTCCGTCATGACAATGTAATTAATATTATGGCATGACAAAGACTTTGTCCTCCTTTATTTAATGGACTGTTTGATGTAGATAGAACATAAGATTCTTATTATAGTAAAATATACTACCATTGTTGAGATGTATCTGGAATATGATTATGCTAAATGTCTTACATATTCAGCTTAAATTAAGGAACTAGACGTATTAAGAAAGAAGTTACTGAAACGATAGAAAGGTAGGGAAGGAAGATATTTGAGGAAAATGGATGGAAACCATAATGTGTATGCCTTTTCCCTTACTGTGGGTAGACATATTTTTACTAATTTCTTCTTAGACACATTCCTTTGTATACAAAAGAATTTCGAGAAGAAAATTCGTGTTCCAAAAATTATCTTACTAATATTATAAATGCGAATGTTGGACTAGATGGATGGATGTTTGTAATTCAGCTTTTTAAAATCCACGTAGACGGAGTCGCAGGCAAAAGTTAGTATACCATACAGTAGAGCTTACTTGTATAAATCTGTAGGCTATTAATTCAGCTTTTTAAAAATCAGGTAGACGGAGTCACAGGCAACAGTTAGTATATCATGCAGTAGAGCTTTTACTTGTATAAATCTGTTACAGACATCACTAATTCTGATCATGGTCAGTTAATTCCCGTCGGATTATAATTGGTTCATTAGCTGTAATTCAAAGGCGAATATGAGGCAAACAATGGTTTAATCTACCGGTGAATATTTGCCGATAATTTCAATTAGGTCATGCAAAGCGCTCATCAACGTACCCGTTCGTAATTCTGTTTAATACTGCTACTGTTTTTTATACATTGAACAAGTTGAATTATTCGACAAAAGTATTTTAATTCTGTGATGATTAAGAATTATCTAGATGCTATGTTATACTATAATTAACATTTTTAATATAATAATTATAATTAAAATTCTTCTGAGGATTGTTTAGCTTCTTGCCAAATATTTTAAAATAAAAATTGTATTGTTTTTATGTATCACAATTTTAATTATGTAAAATGTTTAACATTTTTACTAAATACGCCGTAAATAACAGAAAAGCTTAAAATCCGTAATCACAAACATTTTCGTGGAACGATTTATAATATATTTTAATGGTTTTTTAAAGCTACATTTTTATGTACATGTCGTATTATATTTAAAGTCATATTGTAACAAAATATATACAGAAACTTCAGTAAACATTGGAACATAGTTTCATCGAACCTTCATTTTGGTAAAGTAACGGAAAATGCCATTCCGACGACGACTGCCGCGCCCCGTATTAATATTAGGTTTGGGTTTATTGAATCCTACGTGATCTCTTTTGGCAAATTGCTGATATAGAATATCAAAAGGGTTCTCACGTACGAGAAATAGGGAGATCTTTCGTAAGCCCCGATTGCTTCATTTAGAAGATAGATAGCAAGACGTAAGTGAAATAATTATATATTAAATATAATATTGCTGTAAGTTGTGAGAATATTATTTATTAGTCTTTGTCCAGTTTGAGCATACTGTAAGAATTAACGACCAACGTGTAAATTTGAAAAAACATAGATGCATCAAAGCTCAACTAACCTACTTCGATTTCCAACAAGTCATTAAAGATATTTATGGCCCGGCATTGTCACGGTGAGAGATAAAGCTTTTCCTTTTCGTCAATTCGGGACATTTTACCTCAATTCCGTGGTTTATCGCTATAGGAAATTGAAAACGATCAATACAAAGGTTCGTTGAATTTTTAGATATCTCAATGCAATAGATGATAAACAAAGTTATTCTAAAATCTATTTAACAAACATGTACATGAATAATTAATTATGATATTATTTTTATTAATTATTATTATTTAAAGAAATCAATTTATTAATAGATTTTAAATTATATCAAACATTTAATCACTTTTGAATTAAAAAATATATTTTTACAACACCAACTATACTGACGAAACTTTTACAAAAAATGTTATTAACCCCTGAAAAAAACTACTGCGTCTATGTTTACTTGAATATTACGAAATTTTTTGTATGAAATGGAATAAAATAAGAATACTACGTTATTTTCTCGATATATGCAGAAGAGATACCAAAAGGAATATTAAAGGAAATAAGAGACAGAACACTATCGCACGTCAATATGTCGCAAACGCTCGCATGTAATTGACACGGACCGCTTCTCTCCGGCAATTTGCTTCGTGCGTCTCGATGCATTTTACGCCATGTTTGTCTATATTTCAGTGTATTTTCTTGTCTTATTTGTTACGATTTTAAATAAAATTGCATGCCTAGATATCAAAGTAGCTGTTCAAAATTTAAGATGTTACCTACTAATGGAAATTCCTATAATAGAAACAATAGTTCTTTATTCAAACTGTGAGTCTATCACGAATATTTGTGCAAGCATCATCGTATCGTCATCGATTTCGTATTCAAAGATGTGCAACAAAAATCGCAAACGAATTCTGACATAAATGACGATGACGATAAGACGCTTGTCGCAAACATTTGTAAATTGGAGAATACAAAAGTTGCTTGTTTTAATATTTACTCCCTAAAAGTAAATCTTTTCTTAAAAGCATTATTTCGTCATTTCGATCATTGTTTTACCAGAAAAAAAAAACATTTGACGATAATTGGAAGAAGCATTTCCAACACATTCCCAGTTGCGCAAGATTTCTCTCGAGCACAAACATAGAAGTGTTTGCGAGCCACTCGCAGCTCAATTCCATTTCCTTTAACGTGCGGCTAGATACTTTAACAAATAAAATTTCTGTCTGTACATACGTTCAAGGGATGTTCAAAGCCATACTGGTTTGTTTATAAGACTCTTATGAATTTTATTTCTGAAAATATAGATAACTAATAGTACTAATAACAATTTTGCGAATATCACACACGACAATGAAATTATTGGTAGAGAATTAAAGACATTATTAAGGGTTTTTTGAATAAAAGGGAGGGGGGAGTAGTTTTAGTAGCCTATGTGTTCTTCAAAACTTCAACAAAATCGGTTTTTAGGCTGTCTGGAGATACCTTCTTACAAATATCCATCCATCCATTCAAACATTCGCATTTAGTAAGAGTAAGATTAGGAAATCTGCATTGTACTGTCATAAGTAATTAAAAAGTTAAACAAAAGCTATTGTTTAAACCGAAAGAAGGACGAATTAACTGGCTTAATTTCCATGACGGGCATACTTAAATGTTTTGTCAAGGCCGCACCGTACGTGCTGCCGCTGTATTATGCGGGCGTATTCTCTCCGTAATGCCACTTTCATACAAGGGTCGTATAGTAGGGCAGTAGAAATGTTCAGTACTGCTATGAATAGAAAACACAACGCCGATACTAAAGTATTTCAAATATAATATTAATTATAGGCCTACGGTTAGCATTAGTCAACTTAAGGCTGACGACAATTACTAACTAAACAATAACTAGTTATAGTGCGGACAATACGAGATTTTTCAATAAATAGCTTAAACATTATCGCTTATAGTCTTAAGTTTTTAAGTACCGAAACTCTACCAGTAATATAGTTTTTGAGCGTATGGATTAATTAATAATGATCTGTCTACTGATATTTGTATATGTTAAATGTCTTTAGTCGAGAGAGAACAATCTTACTAGCATGAATATTAGTGACAATCGCCTTCGTATCGTCATCGTCAATTGTCAAAATTATTATGAAATTTTTGGTGTACTTTACGGCCGATAGGAGGCGCTGCACAAATTTAAATATAAATTTTGTCGATAACAATACGAAGGCGATTCTCAAAAATGTTCATGCTATGTCCACAGTAATTGTACCTTCACACAATAGGAGTACTGCACTGTGTTCTGCTCTGCTTCACTTTTCCGCCCTCGTATGAAAGTAGCTTAAGCTTGAATAATATTCAGCTGTCTTTTGTACCTTTGTGAGCTGAGACGTTGGATTAAGAACACAATGCTTGCTTCATTATCTTTTTCAACATTTTGCTTATCTTTCTTTTGTTTTAACTGCATACATACGTCCCTAGGATATTGTTTGACTTGTTGAAATTACGATAGAAAATATTATATGAAACTAGCTGACGCCCGCGACTCCTTCCGCGCGGTATTTAAAAATAGTAGCCGATTCTCAGACCTACCGAATATGCGTACAAATTTTCATACAAATCGGTCCAGACGTTTCGGAGGAGTATGGTAACTAACATTGTAACACGAGAATGTAAATAAAAGATTATATTTTTCCTATATTTGATTTCGGTAATAATTCAACTAGAATATATTTTACTACCTTTTGGATTTATAGTGTTCACACTTTAAGTTAAGATATAAAAAAAAACACTTACTAATGTTGTAACGTTTATTTAAGCTTTCTTTTAATTAATTTCAATCAAGTATCAGTTCTATTTCTTTAATAATGTAAAGCAGTCCGTTCCATCTTTTCTTCATAAATATTATTTGTACTGTAATAAAAAGAATAATAGAATTATAAACCTGAGGGATTTATTAGTGTCCAGTGTCCCTTAATGTAGCTTTAGTAGAAATCAACTTAAATGCCACTGTTGAATATTGGCTAGGGAATTGTTACTAGGTTTAAAAAAATAAGTGAAAAATAAAACACTTCGTCCATGTCATCCAATTACTAACAACTTGACAAGAATTTCAAATTTAAAAACAGAAAAAGTTTGATATTTGATTTGATTATATTTTTCTTTGTATTAAACCTCTTTACTAATTATTAACAGCCAACCTTTAGAGTGAGTGCGTCAGCTACCATTTCTGACAGTAAAATTTCCGTATAAAAGATATCGTCATCCCTGTCATTATCTTTGATTTGAGTCTCAGAAACCCACGGTTAGTATTACAATTACAGTCTAGTATTGATATTACATAAGAGATACTTACATACGATACGGATGCGTGCTGTGCAACGTGAGTGATTCCAATGACTTTGATGACCTTTTCCGACGCGTTTCATCTGTGCCGACGTCTTTGTTTATCATATAACCTGTAAATTATAATAACAAATCTTACTAATTATCTATTTACTAGCTGTCGCCCGCGACTCCGTCCGCATGGATATATTAAAAAACTTAATTAGTGTAGCCTATGTGTTCTTTCAGACTATGTTCTATACGCATGCCAAATTTAATCGAGATCCGTTCAGCCGTTCTAGATTTATCTTCAAATACCCATCCATCCATATCACATCCATCTAAACATTTGCATTTATAATATAAGTAAGATAACTAAATAGCAAGGCATAAATTCGAAAACAAAAAATGAATAAATAGTATCCTATGTCCGTCTCCTGGCTCTAAGCTACCTCCTCGGCAATTTTCAGCCATATCGGTAAAACCGTTCTTGAGTTATAAATAGTATAAATAACACGACTTTCTTTTATATATGTAGATATTATAAATGTGAATATTTAGATGGATGTTTGTTTGAAGGTATCTTTAGAACGGCTGAACGGATCTCGACGAAATTTGGCAATCATATAAAACATAGTCTGGAAGAATACATAGGCGAATAATGTTTTTCTTTAATTCCGCGCGGACGGATTCGCAGGCGACCGCTACTATAAAATACAACATTATGTATGTGTCGTGATTAGAATTAACTATATGTTATTTCAAATCAAAGTTTATAACAAAAAGCCTTCATAAACTCAATTTTACACTGAAATTAGTGAATTTAAAATATTTTATTATTGTGTACACTAAATTATATAAAACAAATTTATAGTACAAAAAAAAATTGAAACATAAAAAAATAAGTATTAAAAATATTGATTTTAAAAAGAATCTTACTTTTAAATACATTTCCTCTCCTTTTTCTATATTCTTGATGGTCATTAAGCACAACATCGGAACGCAATTGCACTGGAGTTCGATAAAAGTCTAAAAAAAAAACTTACTCAAACATTAATTAGTAAATAAAACGTCTAAGCTTTTTTTAACACGTCTCAAGTATAGTTTTTTAGTAACCTTATAATACCATAATCTTTATATCCTTTATTGCTTCCACAAAACAAAACGTCACCGACCTAGAGGTAACAAATCTAGTTAACACGCAAAGTATAGCTAAGCAATTACGAGTATGTAATAGTAAACTGTATTTAAAACACCGTATATTCAAAGATATATTATGTAAATAACACAAAGACATATTTAATATTTAAAAAGCAATTTCTAAGTTATTAAGTGTACTCACAAAGCATCTTTTCAGGTAACGGCTCTTCCGGCAAATTGTCATCTGAACGACCGCGAGCGTAATCTGGAGTAAAAATGAATTCAATTAATATTGCGTAATATTTCAGACGCTTTTTTTTTATAAAAAATGCTTAAAATATTTGGATAATACTTCAATTGAAAAATATTGAATAAACCTTTTATCTTATATCATCAACACAATCGAAAATAACTTCCATAAATATGGTCAATAACTAAATATTAAGAGTAACACAATTAAATTTATTTACCTTTATAAAAATTAAAACCATCTCTACCCAAATCCGAGCATTTCGCCGAAGGTAATACTAACATTAATATAGCCAGAAACGATAAATATAATTGCCGCATTTTCACAAATATATTACCAAATAAACATAACTCTAGCTCTAAACGATTTATACGTGGCCGAGTAAGAAAATAAAGTGAAAGAATTTATAGGCCACCCCTATTTATATAGCGATTTTTTCATAACATTGCGTTACGTCAGAGGTTCAGTTATTGTGTGCCACTTTCAGATATAGTAGGTTTGATTTTTAATTCAAAAAATAAAACTTTATTGTTCAATTGTTCAAATATAGTTTACTCACACAGGTCTGGCAACCGAAGTGTTTTAAAACATTGCATTTATGAATAAAAATCAACCATAGGGACACTAAAAACATGGATTAAAACAACATTAACTTAAGATTATTATCTTATTATCTACATTAGTTGGAATTTGAATCTCTCATCAAAAACTGATTGAAATCGTACTCTACATATATTTACTTAAAAAATTGAATTCGGTTCTAATTGCTATTAAATAATTTTATTAAAGCGAGTGAAGCTACTTTTTAAATTTATCATTGTCTATAAGAAAACCTCGGCAACTAAACATCTGTGCCCGACACCGCAGTGGGTGGCTGTCCGTTCTCGACGCAACCTTTTGTCAGTGGCAGCCGAGTCAATCGTCTAACAAGAACATCTTATTCAAATGCTATCTTGAATGCCTTTTTATAGAAATGATAAAGACACGATGCAGTATTGTGAAAGGTTTTTAAATAGAATACTTACTTCGTTTGAAAATGAACCCACGTTAACAGCTATTCTAATATTTGAAATGCATTTTACTAGAGAACAATACTAAAACTGAGCATTTCTGTAAAGTCAAGTCATCAAGTTGTCAAGAATATCTGCAATGCCGACTGTTATGTTTCTTGTTGAAGCTATATATTGCTCGGGCAGGTTTTATTACGCCGAGATAATTTAAAGCAACCGACGCAGCGAGTGTAATAATTTGAGGGAAGTATACTGGAGCTCCTCGGGACACATTTCATTCCCCGTAATGATGTTGTTCTGCTCTCGATTTATTGTTACAGATTTATATCTACTATTCACTGTTAAATTGAAACACTGGATATGAAAGCAGATGAATGTTATAACAACAATTTATATGCCCTTTGTATTTCTATTGCTTATATCATTTTTAAAAACATACCTTTATGTTTGTTTTATTTAATAACTAGCGGTCGCCCGCGACTTCGCCGCGCGGAATTTAAAAACAACATAATTTCCCATGTGTTCTTCCAGACTATGTTCTGTATGTATGTCAAATTTCATCGTGATCCGTTCAGCCGTTCTGAAGATATCTTCAAACAAACATCCATCCATCCATCCATCATGACATCACGCGTTATTTTACGATAGAGAGAAGACGAGCGCGGTATTAGGGAGATAAGGAATCATCGACAAACCTGCGCGTAGATAATAACTTTTAAATTTCCCCGCGGTTCCTCTGATGTCCATGGGCGTCGTTAAACACCTCGGTGTTCTCGCTGCTCGTTTGCCCCCTTCTGTTAAAAAAAAGCATTTTCTTTTCTTTATATTTCCTTAGATAAATAAAATAGATATGTTTTCTAAAATTAAATTAAAATTACACGATAATACGTACTCATAAGAAGTAAAATTTATCTTTATTCATCTTAGATCCCGCTGCAATTGACGAGGAATAAACTTTGCATCAGATTAAATTAATTTTATGCTTCCTTAGTTGGAAGAGAATCCGCTCGTTTACGGCTGTGAGAATATTATACAACCAAGCGTGAGTTCTGTAAGATGTCTTAAAGGAAATTATTTCATTGTTTATTTATCTTTTTTGAACTGTTTTTACGGCCTGCATTTATTTCATTGTAGAATATAAATTATTTAAATAAGTCAAGCTACCGTCTGTTCATTCGATGATATAGTTGTGACGTCATAACTTATTGGCATGGTTGCATATAAATTTTTGGTTATACTATATTTTGATAACATTGTTAGTATTATTAACGAAAGAAAAGTATTTATTCTACAATATAGTATGTTAGGGCTATTTCGAAATTATACTTGATAATAAGTTTAATTAATCATCAACCTACTCTTGTCCCTACGGAGGGTCGGCAGAGTACTACTTCTCTATATATCTCTATCAGCCGTTCTATTTAAATTAAAAAAATATTTCTTTACATAGTGATATAGCTATTAGCGTTGTCTAGCAGTATTTAATATTTGTACATCTCTGGCCAGTTGCCAACAAGAGCACTGTCACAATAAATCATAAGCTCTGCCAAGGTTTCCAAGATAGCTCTAATTAGTGTGTTAACTTCCAAGACTAAATTAGTGAATAAATACTGGTGCGAAACAATAATAACTTTTTTCTTATCTTAGGACTATAAATACTCTTTTTAAAGTTATTAACTGCCAGATTTGTTTAAAAGTAATGGATATTTCAAGTTTAAAATTAAAAAGATATTAATTGCTTTGCACTTTAGTGCGCACTACGATATACATTTTTGATCATAAAAAAGAAAGATCTGAGTTTGTAATTTAGTTTTTACATAGCGAACAATTTGTAAATACTGTAATGGCCTTGAACACCTCGGTGTTCCCGCTGCTCGTTTGCCCCCTTCTGTTATTAAAAAAAAATACTAATATGGATTCTGTACAGCCAAATTATCGTTTACAAATTTGGCTAATTAATACGTCGTGCTCATGTCGCACCACACAGAAAACAAACTTAAAGTGGAAGGTATTCCGCGTTTCGTATGGGTGCCTGAGGCCTAATTTTAGACCTCTTTCCTTTCCTACACTTTTTTATATTCAAATAACTAAAGATCCAGATTAATCTAGTTTTTCCTGTATAATTCAAATATTTAGGAACCATTAAAGAAATTCTCATTAAAATAATGTCTAGAGCAACCGCAAATTGCCCCGGGAGGACAATTACATAAAGAAAGCGAATTAAGTTAAGTAAAATTTAAGTTAAGCCCGTGAGACAGCTCAGCATTTTATTGGCACCTTTATTCTAAGTTGTTCGTCTCTTAACATGTAAAAGACCTATAGAAACTCAAAACTTTATAAAGATTTTCGCTTCAGGCCATCATTTAAATTTTACTTCATGAATGTTTTATAGTTATTTTATTCTGGAAAACTTTCTACTTTATAACTTTTTGTTTAACTTTAACAATATGTTTAATGAACGTGTTTAAAACTCGCGATCAAATTTACATGAAAATATCATTAAATAAAGGTCAAAGTTATTTGTGAAATTAAGATATTTATTTTTAATATTTCGTGTCGCCCGCGACTTCGTCCTCGATTAAGAAGAAACCTATGTGGTCTTCAAGACTATGTTCTGCATCCATGCCAAATTTAATCGAGATCCGTTGATCTGTTCTGGAGATTCCTTCGATCAAACATTCACATTTATAATATTATAATACATTAGTACGATCTATGTTTTTTGCACGCTATGTCACTAGGAACGAAGAAAAAAACATTATTCCATTTATTCTAATTTCCTGTGGTGGTCTTGATAAGACCAAACAGCGTCTTGAAAGCGCGGTCCTGTTTTACGTTAGCAATAAAGCGCGATAAAAACGTTTCGGCTTATTAACTTGATGTGGCTCTTTATTGCTTTACATAAAAACCAAAAGATGTTAAAAGGTTTTTTTTTTAGTTAAAGGAAAAACAAATATCGGATGCGTGATGGATTTGTATAATTTTTTCAATAGGATTGTGGCAAGCAAGCAATCAAATCTTTGCTGCAAACCAACAAAACATTGTATTTTTCTAGTTGAAAAAAACAAAGACGTTTTTCCTGCGGAAACCCACGTATGTAATATTCTGTTTATCTTTCATAACATTCGCATCATTTCAGAGAAATAAATTTGATAGCCAATTATCGATAATGAAACAATTTTCTCGGAATACATGAAAGAAATCTCAGGTAATGAAGGAAACTTGTTTGTTTAATTCTTTTGAAATTAATATAAAATTATAAGAAAATTAAAAACATTAAAGTACTCAGTTAAAAAACGTCCTATGTTTGTCAAATGTCCCTTCTTCAAAAGAAACAATATTCATAAAATAATCAGACTTTTTGAGCTAACAAGAAGTTTCCTTATCAGGGAAAATCGTGAAATTTTTTATTAGTAATGACCACTAAATAAAAAAGCTAAAACATAAAAAAAAATTCACGATTATAATTTAGCATAAAAAATAATACAGACCAAGAGTCTGTTAATGTCGTTTGTTCAAAAATCTAAAACATTAATGGTACGATAATTCAACAACTAAGTTTTAAAGTTGTGGTATCCCTACATCTCGAGGAGCATAAAACAATTTACTTTCGCATGAAAGTGAAAGGAGTTCACAACTTGAGTACTCGAGTATCGTTAAGCGAAGATCGAAGTTTTGAACCAAAGTTCCAGCAATTTGTGTTTCGGATCTTTGTATATGAGCTCGCTGAAGGAACTTGTTCTGACAGTTGCTCCATCGTTATACTCTACTCCTTTTACTTAACGCTTACAAATAATTTGATCTCAAAAGAGAAATTCTCACAGTATATATTATTATAATTGAAATTTTAGTCTAAACATTTTGCTATGAAACGTTTTTGCAGTTTTAATTATGTGATTTAATTTGCATATGAAAAATTCTTTCAACGATTCAAACTATAGTTAAAGTTTTTGCGATGGATGCAATTCAGAACAGTTAAATGGCGAATTTGAAGCCTGGCTACGTGTTAAGATGTCCGCAACCTTTAACCGCTAGGCTATTGGTGCTTATTATGGAAATAAGAATTGTAATAACCGAATGATTGACATTGAGCCTATAATTATCTGACTAACAAAGAGAGTAATATTTTTCGCGCGTATGTAAGTTTTGTCTTTATGTATGTGGGTTTGTATGTATATAAAATCCTTTGTGATGGCCTAGGGCCTAAATTACTGAACCAATTGTAATGAATGAGGTGTCATACGATTCGTCTGTTGCCTCTGAGCGTCATAGGGTGGGTATATTTCTTGGGGTATATCTCAAACGCCATA